CAGTCGAGTCGTCAGCTACCTGTCTGCGGACCTATATCCATTGCCCAAGCCTTGCCAGCAGCCTTGAGCGAGTTGACCAGTCACGCCCATCTTCTTCTGGATGGCTTCCTTCAGGTATGCAACGTTTTGCGGCACTGAGTCGATTGGAATAGCATTGCCAACGAGCTGGAAGCCAGAGGTCAGCTGGCCTGAAGCAGATCCATAGTTCCCACCAAAGGATCCATGGCCCCACAAAAGAGGCACTTCCATCGTCCTTCAAAACTGCGAAAGGATTAGAAGCGGCGACGATTCTCGTCACACCCCTTATTGAGCTGCGCCGACACGGCACTGGTCCGCCTTCGCTCGTCCAAGCAATTACGCTGCCGTCTGCTTTCAATCCCGCCAAAGCCCCGCTCCCATCCGCCGCCAAGATGGCGAAAGCATGGTCCATGGTCAGTGCCAGCAATGATTTGGCGCCCAATTGGAATCCTAAACAATGGAACTGGAAGTCTATTTTGGTATCACTTATTTCGAAGATGCTGTACTTGAGACAATGAGGCGACGGAGAGTAGGTTTCTATTGGGGGAATTGAGGGTGCTACGAGAAGTGTGCAACGCCACATGCACACGGGTGGACCCGTCCCACAAAAACAGCTCGCAGGCCTTGAAAGCCTTGAAAATCTTCTCTTTGTCACCTCCCGCAGGAGCACTCTGCGCGATGTCCGGGTACCGGAACTTCACCAAGGAGTAGTAGCCTAAGAAAGAAGGTTAGCATGAAACGCCCACTCTTGCAGGAGAATAGCCCGGCACCCATCATCACCAGCACGTACCTTAGGGATGCAATTCGCCACAACACGTGGCACTTAGTTCGATCGCTCCCCGGCCCAGGCAAGCGGCATCATTGCCAGCAGAGCCCCGGCGATGATCACAGGCACTGCCACCCAAATCTCGGCCATGTGTCCGGTCACCAGCCTCGGCAGACATCTGCGCACCTGGCCTGCTCATCCTCGAGGTCGTCGTGGTCCTCGTGCCTCCACGGGAAAGTGATGAGGTCGTACGTGAAGGCATAGCACATCACCTTCAGCGCGAGAAGCAAAAGGCTCGTCACCCCCAAGGTCTCAGTTGGATGCCACCGAAAGGCACAGAATCCCAGCACGCCGTGGGTCCTAGTTTGCCAGTTTTTGTAGGCTCCGGCACAAGCACTCTCACGACTGACGGAGGCTTCAAGGTTCCAACTTCCGCCTGAAGCTTAAAATGCTTCTGAGACTTGAAATGCGGGACATGAGGCTTTGGCTTGCCGTGCGACGTAAAGTGATCCGGCTAGCAGTCAACTATCCAGCTGCAAGCAACCCACCCAGCCCCATCAGTCGTTCCAAACAGGAAGAGCGGGAAGACATAGACGAAGCCAAGCACACCCCAGTACACCTGAGGACTGACACTGCCACTGTTAGATAGCCACGAGAACTGTGCCATGCTGGCTACAGAAACTGTGGGAGCAAGCATGGGCTAACCGGCTAACTCCGGACATCAAAAACAAACTAGCCAAAAACAGAAACTAAGCGAACCGACAACCTGGGGCCATGATGCTGGACAGCAATGGAGATAATGGAGGACCGCTCATCACAGCTTGTATGTCTCACACTAAATGCTGACCCACAACGACTGCGCATCGCCCACCTAGAACCTGCGCAGACCGAGGCCTTCTGGCTGGGAAAACGGGCGGGGGAAAACCTAGCGCCACCCCGGCTCTGACAGGCGCCAGCCACGGCCAGGCCTCCTCATTGTTTTCAATGCAGCTCTTGGTGAAAACCAACAAAAACAAAACATATCCAAAAAAGATCCTAAACCGGCAGGTTTGGAAAACTAAAAGGAAACAAAACACCCAGGCCCAGGAAATCCAGAAAGCCAACAAAAAAGCGGCCCCAACAGCACCTTCCCGCACCTCTGCTCTCAACTGCCCGGGAAATCCATCTTGATGGGAACTTCTGCTTTCTCAGGACTGCCGATCAACTTACGTGTAGTGTTATTTATGCTTTCGTTTACTTTTCTGTTTGTTCCAATCGGCTTGCCAAGTTGTGTCGGTCGATTGGTGGTGAATTTTGTCTTCTGAATTATGGTGTAAATTGTTGAGGTGGGGCTTGATGCGGGATATTTCGAAGTCAGAAGGCTTGATTTAGTAGACGGCTTGCGATATGTGTAAAAGCGTGAGGGGGGATGACTCGGAGGTCTGGGGTCAGCCATTGCTTGTAGGAGGGGTGTGCTTCCGCATGGGCAGCCAAGCTTGGCTGCCGACAACCGCTGACTGCAAAAAGGTTGATAGCCATACCATAGTTCAAACTCATGCTGACATTGGTCTTCGAAGAAAAGCATGGACGACACACTTGCTTTGAGCATTCGCGCTCGACGAGGTCAGACGAGGTTTAGGGCAACTAACTAAATACATCGGCTCATTTCGAGCCTTTTCAGTGACACACTTACACACAAGAACCACACTGGTGGCAGCCATTGGCATGTGGCAGCAATAGCAAGGGACAAGGCAACAGCGGCAACAAGGCGGGTGACACGGCAAGAGCAAGCATATGGGCTAGCGAGGATAGCAAGGCACAACTACCAGAAGTACGACAACGATGCTCAAGATTCTTGTTCACACTTATGATCTGATGACCATAACAGGCATGAGGGCCAATAACACGAAAATAACAATGGCAGCACTGGCCTGCAACAAGACAGTCTGGAGAATCTAAGAAACCGTAGCACTTAGATGTGTGATGGGAGTGCTGAACAGGAAGTTCTACTGCGGGCATTATGACGATGATGATGAGGCCGAGGATGACGAGGAGGGTCGACCTGAACAGTTGACATTAACATCATGAACACAGTTTTCATCATCACTGCAACCGTTGCGGACCTCATTACTACGATCATCATCATCATCATCAAACTAAGCTTCACTATTTTTGGCTCCTGCCTGGCAACGTCCGGAGGCACCGCTTGGCAGGTTTCGTCTGGGCCATGAAGCTTCATTTTGGTCCTCGTTGTTCGTGTTGTATCAGCAGCAAAACTGTCGTTGGAATATTGTTCATGCAGACAGCATGTCCATCTGCAGCAGCAGAAGCAGTCAACAGTATTCGTGAGCTTGCAGATGCCACAGATCTGACCAGATCCAGTAAGTATCGCCCTTCTTGCAAAGAGCCGCAGAGGGTCTCCTTTTCCAATGTTTTCCAACCTTAGGACTCTAGGCCCGATCTTGGGGGCGCCACAAGAGCTATGGCATCCGAGATGACGCCGAGCCTTGGCAGACATACACCCCGGAGAAGCGTGACTGCTATGATCTGGGCACATATGGTCATCGCCAAAACGTCGAGGGTAGCACATGTCGGGCTGCAGGAATAGCCGATGAGTCCAGCTCATTTTCACCTGCCAGCTTCTTTCTTTCACGGCGACAAGGCCCCCAGTGACGAATTGCAGGCCTCAATCATCCACGTACCAGCCACTGCTGCCACCGTGTTTGGACCTGGGAATGCTTGGATGCCCTGTCGGTCAGAGACAGAATGAGCTGAGTGCCAGAACTGAAGGCCAGCATCAAGGCCAAAGCATGCATCTTCCTAAGCGTACGGGCACGGGGTAGTGTCATGGAAGAGCCGAAGGAGCACACGGTCCAGTGGGACGAGGAGCAGGAGTGCCAGAGGAAGCAAACTCAGAGAAACAGCATCAGCGTGAGATGTTGCACTGGCAAGCAGATCAAGAGCAAGACAGACAGAGAGACAACCTGGAGAGAGAGAAGCAGGCAGGCATAGGCAGAGGCAGAGACAGAGACAGAGAAAAGGAGAGGGAGGTAGTGGAAGCAGGAACAGGAGGAGCTGGAGCAGCAGCAGTGTTCGCAGCCTTCGCAGCATGGCGGTCCTCATGATGTCATCGTCGCAGTAGCATCCGCAGCAGCAGTTAAGAAAAAGAACAGAAACAAGCATCTAAAATCAGATGCATCCCACATTACCCGACAATACGACGAGAGCTGGTAAACAGAATAGGATACGTGCAGCCATCCCCGGGCCCGAAAGGTGGCAACAGTAGCAGAGGACGAGGACGACAAGCATGAGGCAAAGGAACAGCGACAGAATTCGTCGATTCGTTCACTGGTGCACCGCATTGGGTTGTAGTTCCCATGCAGTACGGACTGTTGCAGCAAAGCAGAGCACGTGCAAAAGCTCCTGCTCGAGGATAAGAGGAAGCATGAACAAAAGCAAAAAGAAAAACTCTGCACAAAATCAGCAAAGAAGCGTTGCCTACTCGTACTGTACTGTCAGTGCTCTTGGTACTGACCTTCTGGCTATTCCAGAAATGACAAAGAAAACCTTTCTCCAGCTGCCGCGGGACTGAAAGCCCTGCAAGTGACCCAGATAGCCTGTGGCCGAAAAGAAGTCCTCGTGCAGGGCACTTCATTGAAAGACGGACTTGCAGTTCTCGGGAAGACCTGTTTGGAAGCAGCTTACCCTGCGTCTCCTTCCAAAGGCTTCGAAGCTACATCAGCTGCATGTAGTGTAATTCAACTAGCGGGGTGTCGATGTGCACCCTCAGTCGCAAGGAAAGGGGCACACAGAACCTCGTCCGAGCAACAGTCTTCGGTACCCAACTACTGGTAGCAACCAACCTTGCTTGCTTGAACCTCCGGCGTCTCCCGGCCCTCCTCCAGCAGCTGGCTCAAGGCCAGAGCCAAGAACAAAAGCCGCAGCAGTAGCCTAAGCACCTGAGAAGGCAAAGCACAAAGCCCCTGCAAAAGCCAGCTCCACAGGGCCAAAAAAGGGCCCTGGCTTTCGTCCTCAGCCCATGCACCTCCTGGCAAGAATGGTTTGAACCCTGCCAGAAATAGATCAAAGACAGCGCAGCCTGGTTCAGAGCTGCGCTGCTCTTCAAGAGAGGCTCGTCCATGACCTCGGTCAGAAGCACTCTTTGCCCGTCCCCTTCAGGCCACCCTGGGGCCCCATCCCAAGCGGTCGTGACCAGCTTCGCTGCGGCTGCAATGGCCGCCAAGGCAAGAGGAGGCCGAAACCTGGGATCATCGGGACACATGGCAGCACCATCCCCCTCAAAAACCCGGACAGCACGCTGAGATCCAGGCAGGGAGTTGACATGCTGCTCTAGAACGAACATCTAGCTTAACTTGAGCACGGATCCCTAGAAACACCTGGTAAAGTCCTTGCTGTAGTACTGCCGTGCGAAATGAACTCATGGTGAGCCATCGTACGGTTTGAGCCTGGCTTGCTTCCCAGGATATTTTGACACTTTCCCTCCCCCCCCCACTTCCTTCCTGTAGAAGCACGCACACACACACACACGGCACATACGCATATCCCTTTGCACTCTTGCCTGGGTCACCGCACTCCCAGCATTCATCCCCCACATCTGCAGCCGGACCTGCAGAGAAGCATCCAAGATGCAAAGAGCACTTGCGAGGGAGGTGGAGAAATAGCCACATCTGCAACATCCATACATTGGATGATGCTCCATGACCCATGTGCGTAGCATCCTCTTGGAAAGTCTTTGGGGCAGTTCAAGGTGTCGTGGGCCCGGCCGTCGCCGCGCTGAGTAAGGGCTTGGTGTTGCGCACCGATGCACTTCGAAGCTCCTGATTGGGGCTTGAGTACTTCAAGATCCTCCACCCATGTGCCGTGGACTCTCGAAGCACATATGTCCCATCGCCCGTGCTGACCTGCAAGAAGGACTTGAAGCCGTAGCGCTGCCTCAGCGCAAAAGTCGTCACCACTCGCTATGCTTCCTGGGCGATCTTAAGGGATCCGACGCATTTTCGAGCCCGCGCTGCAAGATCCCAACAAATCCAACACTCGAAGAAGGCCCAATTTCCCAAACTTGCTCCGCTTTGCTGGTCCAAGAAGCTCCAGATACTGCGGCAAGGATTTCGCAGCAGCGAGCTGCGCAGGTCACAGCAATATTTGATTGAAAGTTCATTTCGTCCACGCTTCAATTCGCAAGTCTACGAATCGAAGCAACCCCTGCCAGCGTGATCAGTCCACAGGCAGGCTCAGCCTCTTTTTGACAGCTGCAAGAAGCGTGATGACACCTGCCTATTCCAGCAATTCCTAAAGAATGCGACGTCGAAAACTTCTTAACAACGAAAACAAACACAAAGAAACGGCATCCTCAGCCTACCCCAACATCTTTACGGGATGACATGGCTGCAAAAGGATCCTCTCCGATAGAATGCTACTCCTTGCGTCACTGCTTGCCTCACTGGTCAAGACCTGCCAGAATCTCGGCTGCCGATTTCGCAAACTTTTCGCCACCTCGACACACGTCCGAGATGCAGTCTTCGAAGATCTGTGCATGATGCCTTCGGCCTCACTCATTTCCCCTGCACAGCTTCTCCGCCTTGGCGCGTTCGGCATCTTCGAAGGATGCAGCAAGAAAAAGGCTTGCTTGCATTGCTTGCCCTCGAGGCCCTCGAGGAAATCCGCAACCTCGGCAGTGCCACCCAACTTTGCCCAGCCCTGATTCGTCTGGAATTTGTGCTTACCACCGGCGGGGGTTGATTTGGCCCTGCAAGAACTGGCCGTCGGCCATGTTCGGCATGCTGACACGCAGGCTGATGCCCCTGGGCTTTGCAAACGGTGTTCATCGCGATCGTGTCCTTCCTGCCGTGCTGACCGTTCATGCGTGGACTGATCCTCTTCTCGTTGACGTACTCGAAGCTCGTGACGTAGTCCTCGTCCTCCAGCAAGGACACAGTGTGGCCATTCTTGCTCAGCACCCCCCAACGACCGTGGTCCCCCGGTCCTTGCTGGAAAAAATTCCAGTGCCTGGCGGAAGCGTCCCATGGAATGGTCCTCCAGCAGCAAGCCCTGCACCGTCCAGTGGGCCACCGCAATGGAGCTCCCAGTCCACCTCTGCAGGTCCCTTCTGCTTAGGCTGCACCAGCTTCTGGCCGGAGAACTCGAACATGGGGTAGGTGCCGTTCTCAAACAGGTCGAACTTGTCGCCATCGAGGATGTAGATGTGGGGGTCGCCCCAGACGCTGCACAGCACAACACCGCCACATGCTTGTTGTCATGCAGATGGCTCTTCAGCTTGTCACAAACATCCGGGAGCGGATCGACCTGCAGGAGAAAGTTGTCACCTGCCGACTTCATGGGACTGAGGTTCGTTCCGATGTTGATGTCCACGACCTGCCTGCTGGGCACATCAATCTCAGACTTTGCCGCGGATGGATCATCTGAGAGCTTGATCAACTCAGCCAGCTGCATTCCTCGGCTGATTGGGCTCTCATGGCGCTGTTGGAGCAGCACGTCTGTGTCTGCCGCGCAGCCTGGCTCTTCGCTCGGCGTGGCAGCGGAACAACGGATCGAAGAGCACAGCACGAGCAGAGCTGCGGCGAAGCACACCTGCGATAATCCAGTCATGGGACAGAGAGTACAGCTCGCAGTTTGAATCACGGAGATTGCACGTGTCTACGCAGAGATGTTCTTCACCAAACGGTTCTTGGTGCCGTCGAGCTCCACGAAGGTGGGCTCCTCCAGGTCCTTGCGCCGGTTGCCGTCCTTGGACCAAACAACGATTCGGCCATCTTTGCATCTTTGCAAATCCTTGTCCACACTGCGGAAATCCTCCCAGTGTCGAAACCAGGAAGGGCCCCGGGCAGGGCTTGCCAAAACCTGAATCCGGCTCTGTGGCACGGCGAGTGGCCGTGATCGTCCTGCCCTTGATAGCATTCGGATTTATCTCGTCACCGTGCTTGAAGCCATTGAAGTTCTACTGCGTGATGGGCTCGCCTTTGCAGAAGCCCTTGTTCCAGGTCTTCTCATGCAGGGCCTTCATTTGCTTAGCCTCGGCCATCGCACGTTTGTCCTTGGCGTGTACCTCGTGCTAGGCCTGCAGCATGCAGGAGCCATCCTGCCTCCTCAGCCAGCACGTGAGCCAGCAGCCCTGCCAAGAGCGCCCTCCACATGATTCGTGCGGCTTGGTCTGGCGGTCAGTGCTGAAGCTCGAACCAAAGCAAATACTTGACATGAAAACTTCTTTGCTTACAGCCACGTCTGCTCTTCTCCCCCCCCTTTTCTGGCGCAGCAACGCATTCAACAGGGTGCCAGCTCTGGCGCTTCGCCACTGCCAGCCGAGCAAGTGCTCCCTCGCCTCTTGCCAGCACGCGGAACTGTATGGCTCTTCTCTGCATGAATGCTAGAACCTTGCCAAGCAGAAGGGTGCTGGCAAAAGCTTCAGGTGGCCTTGACCGGCCACCGACTACATGCACGTAGCCGCTGCTGTAGAGACTGCTTGTGAGCAAGGTCATTAGCCAGGGCAGAACACAAAAGGGCATGTTTTCTGCAGCTCGGCAGAATGCCCTGAAACTTATGGAACTGGAGAACTTGAAACTTCTCGAATTCGACGGGCGCTGCCAAGGCCGTCACGAGAGACCTTTTCTCCAAAAATCTCTCGGCCCGACCTATCTTACCGGGCGACATTCTGTCTGCTCGACATCTTCTGGATTAAGCTGCTGCTGCCCATGCAGAAACCATCGCCGAAAATGACCTTCGGAAAGAGAACAGCTTCAGAAGTTTCGACAAAGCTTCAAGCCGAGACCGATGCCATTCCGCCCTGGGAGTACATGGCCTGAGCAGGAACTGTCTGTGACTGAGACTCAAGTGGGGCCGGGAACAGGCAATGTTTCGGTGCCTTTTTTCAAGAAATCTCCGTACCAACCACTTCATTCAGGACAGGCGGCATAGTATGCGCGGCAGAGATGCAAGAAGCAGGGCATGTAAGTGCAGAAGCCGTAAAAATCCTTTCCGGAGAACTCGGGCGGCCATTTCTAGAAAGGAGTGTCACTGACAGAAGTCCTCGTATTTGGCAGCACACTGGACCATGTCCAACTTTGGCTCTGCATCGAAGAACTTGCAGTCAGTGAAGTAGGCCAAGCACACCCTGCAGAAAGCACAGGAAAAAAGAGGAGACTGCCAGCCTTCCACCGGGCCACGGAAAATGCTAAGAACAGCGCATGTAGAAGATCATGTTCCAGAACATCGCAATGAGCGGAAACTTGAAGATGTTCAGGCTGTTAGGCTGCACCTGCTTACAGATGCCCAGCTGTGTAATCATAGAGGGTTTCAGGGGGGACCCCACATAAGAGCACCCCAGATTGAAGGCCAAGTGCGGGCAACAATAACGCACAAGAGGTCCTTATTGAGCGCTATTCCTTCTTATTGATGGCTGCGAGCTGTTGAGCGGTATTGTTGCTTATTGTTGTCGCGCTATGCTTTCGCTTATTGAGCGCTATTGTTGCTTATTGAGGGCTGCGGCTATTGAGCATTATTGGTGCTTATTGTTGGTGCAACCTTTTCGCCTATTGACTGCTAGTGTCGCTTATTGAGGGCTGCGGCTGTTGGTAACTATTGGTGCTTACTGTTGCTGACATTTTAACCTATTGATGGCGGCAGCTGTTCAGCATGCTTGTTGCCGGTGGAGGTGATGATCTTGACTCGTGTTGAGTCGGATGAGTGTTGGCTATCGACCCGCACAGAGTACATGCTGCCACCTGGACCAGAGCTCTGGTTTGCAGGGCGAGATGCTGCGTCCGTATTTAGCTCAGTCACGATTTACACTATGACATGTGGTCTTTGTGCGCTATTCAGGTATATACATACGATTCATCTATAGGTAATAGTGCCAAGACAACGTTTAGGAAACCGCCCATGTCAGAGTCAGATGTCCCTTCGGGCCAGCCACAGCTGGTGGAGCGGGAGGGCTCGAATTTCAGAAAGGATCGCCAAAGGTCCCAGGCACCTTGTTAAAACAACTACCACATATTTGACAACGGCCCTGACTGCACACTGCAGACACAGGCACAGACAAACACACACGCACACACACACTCTTTGCTTTGCTTTGCTCCGGGGTTGAGGTGTGGGCAAACACACACACACACACACTCTCTCTCTCTCTCTCTCTCTCTCTCTCTTTCTTCCACATGCGGCCATCGCCCGCTGACAGTGACGGGCAGACTTGAGTTGAGGTAGGTCACTCGATGCTCGGTAAGTCTGACAAACAAAAGCAGGAGCGGCAGCAGCAGCACCCCCACCAACAATGCCAACAGCACCACAACCGCAGCACCAGCATAGCAGCAGAATTCGCAGGACCTTTCCCCGGCCTTGTCCAAGGCAGGCACGGGCTCTCCCCTGATCGATTTTTCGACCTGCTGCAGTATCAAAAGCAGGGCCGTCCATGGCCTGCTGGGCTGCCGTTTGCTCCAGAAATGTATGAAAAAGCAGCTTCACAACAACATCCAAGCGACATACAGCAAATGTGGCCTGTCATGACGGTGTCACCTAACCACTTTTATGTGCTGGCGCGCTTAGTCAGTTACTTGCCTGCCTACCTACTTAAGTGCTTGCTTGTTTGCTGGCTTACCTACTTACTGACTTACTTACTTACGCTCTCACAACTCGGACAAGCCAGACGAGGTCCAATTTCCACACAGTCTATGGGTAGAACTTACGTTGGTCTACAGAAGTCTATAGATTCCTGCATCTTTCCTCCAGGAATCGACATCGAAGGTATTCAGGCAGCCGGGCACACCGACGACCGCTTGGCAGGCCGAAGCCCCTACGTAAACTTGGGATCCGACGACAGTCCTTGAAGCTCTTGGTGAAAGCGGGAAGCTTTGTGCTTTGTGGTCGGTGGTCCCTTTGCCGAAAAATGTTCGTAAGCGCGGCTCATCTAAAAACTGAGACCTTGTCGGCTGTACTCAAATTCAAGCACAAGCTCTTCTGCGTGCATGCGTGGGCTGAGGACTTTCAGAAATGTGACCGTATCCTTATATTACGGAACCTAAAGAGTAGATGTGTCCGTATTTTTGGCTTCTGTACCAGGGAGGCACTAACCCTTGCTGTGAGCTTGTGCCAAGGTCAGGAAAAAGAGCCGCGTGTTGAAAGAATTCGATTTCTGATCTGCAGACGGACTGCAAGCTAACCTCCTTCCAGTTTCCAGAGTGTGGTCGCCCACAGGTTCTGCCAATGTCCGGGCGGAGTTTTGTCTCCGACTCATGCGTGACCTATTTGTTAGGAGCTACCTTGTCCCCTCAAAGGCACTTGCTTATGAACCTATGCCTGGGGCACAAATGACAAAGCTCTCGGTTAGATAAGTTAGATCCTCTCAGGATAGGTCTCGCATAAAGCACACGTGCTACAGACGACAAGCCCTCTGCCCGCTCACACGGCAGCAAGCTTGCTGGGAATCTCCACGTACTCGGCAATGAGCTCCCGAAGGCGGTCACCCGTCATGGTCTCCGTCTCGGTGAGCTCATCGGCCACCCGGTCCAGGCAAGCCCGGTTGGTCATCAGGATGTTCAGCGCATTCAAATAGCAATCATCCGAGATCTCCTTGATAGCATTGTCAATCTTCGAGCTCAACTCCTCTGAGTAGTCCGGGCCCATAAAGCCGCCGTCATCGATGGCCAGAGAACCGACCTCCGACATGCCGAACTGCGT